GGATTTGGAGGATAATATTTTTACTTGTCTTATTAGTTACTTTTGGTTTAAAATGGGTTTAACAAATATTCCCACACCTAAGTGGGTACTGGCATAAATGGACCCTCTGGGGATCTGTTCAGGTATATACAAAAGTTCTCACCTTGCCCACAGTTGTGATATCACCAGGCTGAATTCTGAGCAGAAATCAAGCATCTCCTTGCTTGCTCCAATGAAGACAAATGTAATGGGTCATTTAGAACAACCCGAAAGGCAGCATAGGCTGATAGAGATTTTGCTGGATGTGTGCTTGTAAAACGCTAAGAAATTTGGTTTTCTCATCTGTAAAATGAGGCTGATAATGAGGACTGAATGGCTGTACCTAAGATGATTGGTGATATTAAAATATTATAGTGCAATATATATATCACCTGTTAATATATAAAATATATGGTAATAATATATTAAGTATTAACTATCAGTAGTTTGCTGTCTTTTCAGAAAGGCAGGGCCATAGTCCTGGAGCAGGTCCTGGAAGCTGTCGATGGGCACAGTGTTAACTCCTTGGTTGCCAGATTGTGGGGAGGTCCCAGATCACCTGTGGGTGAAGACAAAGAAAACCAATCACACTAGATGCTGTTGAAGGGCTTGGGCGTGGCTCCTTTTCTCAACTGGCTCAGAAACACTTGGCGTTAGCAGACTGTAGAGACAGACCTGTGCATAAACCAAAAAACCCCAGTCGGCTTCAAGTTGATTGTGACTCATGGCAGCCCTTTGTGTTGCAGAGTAGAACTGCTCTCCATAGTGTTTTCAAGGCTGTGACCTTTTGGAAGAGATGCCCAAGCCTGTCTTCCCAAGTGGCTGTGGGTGGGTTCGAATGCCCCACCTTTCTGTTAGTAGTGGAACACTTAAACTTTTTTGTTATCCAGGGACTCCTGACCTATGCACAGAACTGCGTGTTAGTCATGGCTGTGCCCACATACAGTCCCTACTTCCTGAAGCCAGAAGCCAGCTGGCAGATAGTAGGGGTTGAACAAATGGTTTCTGAGTCTGTGCCTCTGTGTGGCCCCTTTCGCTGTTTTATTGCTGTGATAATGCTGCTTCCTCCTTGATAACAGAGATCACTGTCCAGAGGGCGGGGCCAAGTCTGCTGGGCTACTTTCTGCAAGCTTTCACTTTCAGATGGTGGTAGAGCCAGTGGGAACAGGGTGATTATTCTCACTGGAAGCGCTCTGTGGGGGCCCAAGGCCGGGGTATCTGCAGATATCTCTTTAACTGAGGCTGATCCTACTTCCTTGGTGCTACTGGGAACCACCTGCCTCTCAGAGATATGGGACCCTGGTCCCACAGTGTCTGACCCAGAAGCAAGGACTGGGGCTCCCAGAGCAGCTAACTGCAGGTACCAACTCTGAGGGCAGATCTGGGGTCTGCCAGGGTCCCTGCAGCCCTGAACCTCCTGGAGCTGCTGAGTTTAGAGACGCTCCAGGAGGTCACAGACTTTCAAAGCTGGAACCAGGAGAAGCAGGTGAGTTGGCTGTGTAGACGCCTGTGGGCCACGGGGAAGAGCCAGGTAGCAGCTGACTGCGAGGAGGGGGCTGAGAATGTGTGTGTGTTTGGGACTGGAGCACAGTCTGCTCTAAGAAGACTGAGGACGACCCCAGTGAGGCTTGCACCTTTATTCATTTATTTTAAAGATGTTTATGTAGCACCTACTAGGACCAGGCCCTGTTCTCATCACCTGTAGTAACTTTACAAATATAAATTTATTGAATCCTCATTACAACCCCTAAGAGTATCAAGGGAGTTATTGTTAATATCCTCATTTTGCAGATGAGGCAACCAAGACAGATAAGGTCAAGTAACTTGCCTAAGGTGGTCACACAGTGAGTGCCTGAGCCCAGAGGAGAGCCTAGCATTTGAGTCTGTGCTTTCCTGACCATATGCTGCCTCCTCTCTCCTCACATGCAGCAGGTGGTTTGGGGTCTTTTCTTGACAAGGGCTCATTTTTTCTTCTCTCCTGCTTAGCCTCCAACTGGGTTCTTTTAGCTGTTAGCCAGAAGTCTCACCTCAAATACAGAGTGGGCAAGGATATACTGCCAGTGGGGAATTGACTAGGCCCCAACTGGAAGAAGGGAGGTATAGGGAGGGGTTGAAATGCAGGTGAAGCAAAGAAACACACTTAACAGGGCAGGGCGTCTGTGATGGGAGCTGCTGTCTCTCTGAGGATGCTGTCTGTCTCTGATGCTTCTCAGGTGACTCCCTGTTCACAGTCAAGGAGGACAGAACAAGGAGCAGCAGAAGCTGGCATGTCCACTGTGTCCGGGGGGCCTGCATCAGGGTCCTCTGACCTGGGGTGAGGGAGAGGCTGTGAGAGTCCTGGAGATGGAGGGAAGTTCTCCCTGAGGGGCACCGGTGCTGAGGAAGGAAGGCCTGATGTCTGAGCAGTGGGGCTGCGGTGTGCATGTTATTGGGGTGGGAAGGGAAGGAGTGGTTTGTTTCCAGGTCAACTTATCGGTTGTCTGACACCACAGAGTCTCCTCAGAATGGCTGGCAGGAGCCTGGCTGAGTCTTTTCTTGGTATCAGTGTTGGTGGGGCCTACCATCCAGTTAGCAAGTAGGAAGTGTTGTGCTCCTCTCAGAGGCCGAGCTGTGGATGGGCTGCCTCCTGTCTGGGGTCCCTGACTCTTGCCCTGTCTCTCTTCAGCTCTGAAGAAATGGAGGGGGACTTCAGCAGGTCTTTGCTCTGCCATCTCACTTCACTCTTGCTCTTCTTCCAGCTGTCCATGAAGGGGTCTACCGGTGAGTGCTCCACATCCCTCTGTCTGCGTCTCCCTGTGGTGTGTGGGAACCATAGGTGAGCTGCTGGTTCTGTCCACCAGGAGAGATGGAGATAGTGGAGACACCCCCACCCCGGGAGATTATGGTGCCCTCACTAATTGTAGTTAAAAATTAAAAAAAAAAAATCCCTAAACCATAAATTAGTATAAAAAATTCTGACAATTGTCTCACCACGACCTCTTTAATGTTTAGAAGAGCCAAATAGATGATATTATGAAATAACTTTCCCACATGTCCCTGCTTTACTAACGTCCTAAGCAAACATGCACGCATGCATTAGTTCACTTTATTCCCCCCATGCTCATGGGGGGTCTCCTATGGCTTAGGTGTTGCTCCATGAACAGAACAGTCGGAGACTTTCTGTCTTCACAGAGCTTACATTCTAGCAGGAGGCAGTGATATTAAATGTAATAAACCAAGAAAAACTGTAGTGTGTTAGAGGAGATTAGTGCTATGGGACAATGAAGTAGAGCAGGTACCAGCAGTGTTGGTGGTCGTGGTGGGGGAGGGTAGAAGAAGTGTGGCGTGGGCAGGCAGCAGTGCTCATTAGGGTGGTCAAGAAAGAGAGATGTGGACTAAGACTTGGGAGAGGAGGGGAGTGAGCATGAGGATCACTGGGGATAGAGGGTTCTTGCAGGAAGTGTCAGCCAGTGCTCAGGTGGCAGAGTGCCTGGTGGTTCAGAGAACAACAAGAGGTGAGTGTTGGTTGCAGCAGAGGGAGTGACGGGGAGGGAAGCAGGAGTGGAGGTCAGAGTGGTCCTGGGGGCAAACCCCATAGGGCCTGTGGGTCACTGGTGGGAACTGAGGAGCCTTTGCAGGGGTTTGAGCAGAGTGGGGCCCTGACATGTTGTGGCTCACACAATAAAAGGCTCACTCTGGCTGCCATGTAGAACACAGACAGTGGGGGTGGGATGAGGGTAGACTGGGAGACCAGTCTGCTGCCGTCTTCCAGGTAGGAGACAATAGTGGCTCAGGCAAGTGTTGAGCAGTAGAGAAGATGGTATTTGGGAATCTGGAGTGACTTGCCTGCAGAGCAGCCAGCTTGCAGCCCATCCAGGTCAGAAGTCCGAGGGTGACAGGCTGAGTGTGCCTTCTTCTGTAACAAGCAGTGATTGAGGCTCCTGGGAGTCATGGGAGTGAGTGCAGCTTTTAAACAGAAATAACATTTGACTCTGGGTTTTAAGTGCACATATTATTCACTGTAAGAGAAAGATATGGGCACAAATAATGAAAGGTAGGCGTGGGAGTGGGGAATTTCCTGGTGGTGGCTGAACGAATAGAGTTCACACCCAGATTTCTGGTAGCCTCTGGTCAGTTTTCAGTCCTGTCCTGAGATGGGGCTGTTGTTCTCATAATGTGGTACCTGAACCAGCATATTCGCATCCCTGGAACTCTTTCTTGTTGTGGTGATTAGCTGCTGTAAGTTGGCCCTGAGTCATGGTGACTGTATGAACAATGAACCAAAAGCTGCTCTGTCTACATGGGAAGCTAGACTTGTACCATTGACTCACCAACGTCTTCGGGGAATTCCTTAGAAATGCACATTTTGGACCTCCCCTAGACATACTGAATCAGAAATTTTGGGGATGAAGTCCAGAGATCTGTGTTTTACAACCCTGTGGGTGATTCTGAAGCACACTCAAGCTTGAGAACGAAGGAGTTAAAGAGTGTTTCCCAGAATGGCCTAGGACCAGGTGCCTAGCCACATGAGGGTGGCCCTTTGACATCATTTCAACGCCATGATGTTGTGGTCAGAATATCTCACTGCATTCAGAGTCCTCACAGTTCATTCCTTCAGGAGCTGTGTGTTATCTCCAATTTTTACCTGATAGTGTGTATTCTCCCACCCTCTGCCTTTGTCTCTCTAGCTTTCTCACTCTCATGTTTTGTCCACAGATGAGTTCCTGGTGATTGGCCCCACAGACCCCATTGTGGCAGTGCTGGGCAGGGACACCATGCTGCCCTGCTACCTGATCCCAGCCATGAGTGCAGAGAACATGGAGCTGTGGTGGTTCCGTTCCATGTTCTCAGAAGCAGTGTTCATCTATCAGAACCAGCGGGAGAGGTAGGAGGGGCAGATGCCACAGTACTCAGGGAGGACCTCCCTGGTGAAGGACTTCCTCACCCGGGGGGAGGCTGCTGTGCGCATTGACAAGGTCCGGATTTCTGACAATGGGCTGTACACCTGCTTCTTCGGAAAGGGACGCTTCTATGAGAAAGCTACTTTGGAGGTGAAGGTGGCAGGTTGGTGACTTGTTCTATATTTTCTAGAGTCTTGGAGTGTTGGAGTTGGGAGCAACCTCAGGGACGATTTAATTCAGCCTCTCATTTTATAGATGCAGAAAAGGGGGCTCGTTCATTCATTTATTCAGTATAAATAATGTAGAGCCCCTACTATGTGCCAGGCCCTGTTCTAGGTGCCTAGGATACATCAGTGAACCTAATAGAGATCCCTGCCCTGTGGAGTTCATATTCTAAATGCAGAGATAGAAAAATCACAATCTGTTCTAGGTGATGCTAGAAGGTGATAAGTTCTGAGAATGAAAGACAAAGTAGAACAGGGAAAGGGGATCAGGATGTGGGCATGGGGACTGGAATTGGGACTGGGCTAGGCCTCATTGAGAATGTGCTGTCTGAGTAAATGCTTGAAGAAAGTAGGGATTTAGCTAAGTGCATATCTGGGGGATGAGAATTCCAAACAAAAGGAAGAGCCAATGCAAAGTCCCTAAGATGGGAATGTGGCCGGTGCGTTCTGGACACCCATGGAGGCCTTATGGATGGGTGGTGGGAGTGAATGAGGGAGAGGACCCATAAAGAGGCGTCCATAGTGGACAAAGCGACGTTCCTGGTATAGGTTGCACAGAGAAGGGACTGGTTAATGCTGTCTGGGGCCATCATGAAAAGTGCCCTAGGGAGTAGACACTTAAGCGGGCACATCAGTTTATCAGGCAAGTTTCCACAGAGCCCTCAAGGTTGAGTGACTGAAGTTGAAAAGGCAGGGGGCACACAGAGCAAGATGTGGTTAATAGCAAGTAACAAAATAGCCCTTGGGACTGGAGTACGTGGGACCTGAGGGGCACAGGTGGTAGAGGTTTGGGGGGGATTTGAGAGAAGGGGTTGGGGAGGAAGACAGATGTCTTCTATGATCTCAGAGAAGGCTTTAGGCTTCGTGTGTTATGTTGCGGAGTTTGGATGCAGAGCTGAGGAAATATTAAGCAGACCAATGCTGTGAATGCTCACTCTGGCAGCTGTGAGGAGGACGGATGTGAAGGAGAAAGGCTGAAAGTGTGGAGTGTAGTTCTGAGGCAGAGAGGATGACTGCCTGACCTCAGGCAGTGGCAGTAAGGTGGGAGAGTAGGGGCCAGATATTAAAGAGATTTGGAAGTAGACCTAACTGAGCAAGTAGATTTGGTACTATAAGAGTTTGGAGGGGAAGAAGGGACCACAGAGATTCCCAGGGTTTTGCCTTGGCTGTTTAGTGGTAGGAATATTGATAACTATGTATCAATTACCTATCACCATAATAATGTTATGTAACAATCAGTCAGAAAATCTCAGTAGTGTAAAGCAATAAACATTTATTTAATTTGAGCATTTCTAGAGTTCAACTGATCTAGGCTGGGCTCGGCTAATCTCAACTGGACTCATCTGTACATTTTTGGTCAGCTAAAGAGGTCACTATATGGACCTTGAGGGGAGACAACTGGCTGATCTCAGATAGCTTCAGCTGAAAGGCTGGGGTGACAAGGAAATGTTCCCAGAGTCTCATTGTCCAGCAGGGTAGCCTTAGCATGTCCCTCCCATGGAAATAGTAGAGGGCTCAATGGTGAAGCAGTTTTCAAACCTTTGCTTGTGTCACACTTGCTGATTTCTCACTAGTCAAATAAAGTCCCATGACCTATGCAAGAGTAAGAGTGGGAGGGCACTACAAAGTGATGTGGCAAAGAGCAGGTGGATGTAAGGAAGGTGAAGACCCAGGGCTATTCTTGTAATCAATTTACCACAGATAGGGCAAAATTATGAATTTTGTTCTGGAATTTTGAGTTTGAGGAGTATATGAGGAATCCGTGTAAAGATAACCCATTGGGGTGTGGTTATAAAGACGGGGAATTTGGGAAACAGAGATGCTTAATTGGTATAATTTTGGAAGTGGTTTAATGAGAAGTGGTGGGAAGAAAAAGAAGCCAGGGGGACTGTGTGATGTGAGAAGAGTAGAGATTCAAGGACAAAACCCTGAAATGACTCTGGCCTGTAAGGAGTGGTGGGAGGTAGGGGGAGGAAGAAAAGTCCAGGAAAGAGGCTCAGCAGAGTGATCAGAGAGGTGACAAACGAAGCAGAAAGTGTGGGTGACCAAGCCAAGACGGAGCCCGTTTCAAGACGTAGTCAACAGTGTCTCACGCCGAAGGGAGACTGAAGAAGAGGGATTGCAGGGTGACTTCTGGGCTGCCAAGTAGGAGATTTTTGTTAACTCACCAAAAACAGACTCAATGGAATAGTAGAAATCAGACTGCTGGGGGTTGAGAACTAGGTGAGAGGTGAGAACATTGAGTTGTTGATGGATTATAAAGCTTACTCTTCAAAGAAGGGGAGAAGGAGACTGTAAAAATATGAACATGTTTATGTCTTTAGGAAAAGAAGTAGATGGAGAGGAAGAGATTAACAGCAAGGATGATGCAGGGAGGAGTGTGACCTCTGGTGGGGCAATGGTTAAAACACTCAGCTGCAAACCAGAAGGTCAGCAGTTTGAGCCTACCAGCTGTTCCACAGGAGAAAGATGTGACAGTCTGCTTCCTTAAAGATTTACAGCCTTGGAAACCCTATGAGGCCGTTCTACTTTGTCCTATAGGGTCACTATGAGTTGAAATCGACTTGTCAGCAGTGGGTTTCTGAGTGGGTCAGGAGCAGAGAATGAAGAGAGAGGAGAGAAGAGAGGAGAGGAAAGGGAGGTGATAATTGATGGGACAAGGTCTTAGAAGAGATGGTGACCTCTGGGTGTCAGAGCTCAGGGAAACAGCTATCCTTGAGCGAGGGAGATTTCCTCTCATTTGGTGTCAGGAAGACGAGAGTAAGATCAGTTTGGATGAAGAACACTTCGTGGCTAATTAATGCAAAACAAAAACCAAAATCCATAAAACTCTTAATTTCAAATATTTCCTGCTTGCTAGAGTAAGTCCAACAAAGACTTAGTTTCAATAAACCTTACGGCCTAGTTGAACTTTTGCCCTTGAAAAGTTTTTATAATGACACCATCTTATTTCTTCTGGGCTGGTCTGGAGTTTTGTCCTTTGATTTGTTTCCTGGGCTGCATCTCAAGAAAAGAGGTTTGAAAATTCTTCTTTTTTCTCTGTGTCTCAGTCTTCCCACTTGAGTGGTTGGAAAGAACAGTCCCCACCTTCAGAGCTCCTAAAAAAGCCACATGCTCCATTCATCCTTGGTTCCCTGCAGTGGGGCCTCAGCCCCACCACCACTAGGGAGCGTCTTATCCCATAGAACCTCCCGAATGGAAGACGAATAGCTTCGTAGGTGTCAGGCTGCCAGCGTCCCAGGCCTACACCTGGGACAAGGCGGCTTCCTGGGCTCCACAGCTTCTCTCCCACAGGTGTGGGCTCTGCCCCTGAAGTGCGCATAGAAGGACCGGAGGAAGATGGGGTCCGCGTGGCCTGTACGGCCTCCGGGTGGTTTCCGAAGCCCCAGGTTCAGTGGAGGGACCTTAGTGGAGAGAAGTTCCTGGCTTTCTCTGAGGCTCATGCCCAAGACTCTGATGGGTTGTACCGCGTAGAGGCCTCGCTGGTGGTGAGAGACAGCTCTGCTGGAAAAGTGACCTGCTCCATCCTCAACCCCATTCTGGGCCAGGAGAAGGCGAAGGCCATTTTCATCCCAGGTCAGTGGTGTTCCTGCTCACAGCAGGGCTGGAGGGAAGGGAACAGGGTCCTGGGTGTGCTGGGCTTGGCTGGCCTGGGTGGGCCCTGACGCAGTCTCTGGCCTGGCCACAGAGCCCTTCTTCCCCCAGGCCTCTCCCTGGAAGCCGGCTTTTGCCGTGAGCCTGATCATCCTGTGTCTCCTCATCCTTGGGGCTGGCTATTTTCTCAAGAAAGAACATTCAGCAAAGGTGCAGGCGCGGCAAAAACAGGAAACTCTTCAGCAGGCTCAGGAGGAGGACAGGCAGAAAACGGAGGAGGCACTGAAGGCCGGAGGCAAGGCAGGGGAGGGGCGAGGCTGGGTGAGGGCAGAGCTGGTGCTGAGAGGGAAAGCTGACAGCAGGAGTAGAGCCCTTGGCTGCAGCCTCCAGGAAGACCCAGGGCCCCTGCCCAGAGCAGGAGGCTCAGGAGATCCAGAGAGGGCAGCTTGGCTGTGGAGGCTTGGATGGGTCTGGAGGGAGAACTTTCTCCACCATATGGAGAGGGTCTTTATGTGGGTTTTACAGGCACACCATCGTTTCCTTTTCTTAGGGATGGGAGTTCATGCTTATTTTTTTTTTTTAATCTGTTTCAGATCAACTCCAGGCAGAGCTGGGTAAGTTCTTCTCTCCCTCCTGAACTCTCTGTGTCCCATTTGGGAGACATTATTGCTCTTAGCTCACCTCATTTCTTGTGTGTTGCCTTGCAGACTGGAGGAAGGTGGTTTACCAGGCTGGTGAGTAACTCTCTAGATGCTCCTGGGTCTCCCGTTCCACCTGTGCCCAGGTGTCCCATCTCCCCATGTCTCTCTGGCATAGACATGAAGACCTCATTCCATGGGGGCAGAAGTGGAAGGTTGTGGGGGAGGAATCCTGCTCCCTGGGCTCTATGATCTGGGCCTCTGCTCCCTCCCAGTGCTGGGACCCTGAGGGTGGTGCAGAGACTTAGTGAGGGGGGAGGGCAGAGGGGAGCACTTTCCCCCACCCCGACTAGGGCGCAAGTCCTAGGCGGTATGGATGAGGCGTGGAATGACATTCCCAGGCACCACAAACATGAAAGGTGCCTGACTGAGGCACCCAGACGAGAGGGTGAAGGTGTTTCTGCTGATGTGTCACCGCTATCAATGTCTATTCATCTTGAAATTGGAGGTGGGTAGGGGTGCAAATTAGAGACGGCCCCTGGGAGCTTGAATGGGGTGGGGGCAACTAAGAGATTGCCCCTGGGCACTTGTTACATGGCTGCAGCTCTGGTGTGGTCATGATCCCTGGAATCTGTAATGCCTAGTGGGTTTTCTCATTCCAGCCCCGGCCTGTCCACTGTATTGTTAGTTTTCTATCCTTCAATACACAAAGCTCTCATTCTGCACCTGGAAGCTAAAAGGCAGATGCTGAGGGATTTCCTTTAAGGAGCTACATAAATAAATGGGGTCACTAAGTGTAGCGGTGTGACTTACTGGTTTCCCAAGAATCCTCCTCTCCGAGGGTGTCAGTCCTTTCAGGCTCCTGCAGGTGCTGATGGAAAAGTGATGGGGAGAGGACTGGAATGAGTAAGCAGGGAAATGTGATAATATGAGCTGAGTGCTCCCCAGAATACAGGTGTTATTATCTCTAGAAATATTTTTTTCCAAAATGGTTGGCCACTTTTACCCTGGTCCTGGTCATGTACGTTTGTCCTTTTTCATTCCTCCCCTTTGAGGGAATAGATATTTTGCAGAAAAACATTTGCAGAAAAGGACTAGTTATAACAACGCTTTCTTACAATTATGGAATAATTTATGTTTTATTCTTTAAAATATCATCACTTTTTTTTTTTATTCTTAGTAGAATGCAGGTATAACAGGAGGTTCTGAGGTTCTTGAGGCACAGAGCAGCTAAGTGACTTGTCCAAAGTCCCACAGCAGCAGCAGGATGGCGTGGAACTTGGAATGTAATCTCGGCTTCCTGACCTGTGGTCACGGGACTTTCCCACCATCCCTGGCCAGCTTTGCATGCTGCAGGAGTTCATCTCTTTTCCAGCATCTGTCTCCCTCTGGATAGGCACACCCTTAGGACAGAAGGGAGGATGGTAGCCAGTCATTTCACACTGAATCTGGCTGCAGTCTCAACAGGGTGTGTTCTCTTTCAGCCTGGAGGAAGGCCCAGTTGTATGCAGGTAAGTGACTCCAATTTTTCTGTGGCCTTACCTCCCTAAGCCCCAGGGGCTCTGCCTCAGCGTGGCCCTTCCTCTATAAGTGGACCCCACACCAGGATAGGACTGGAATCTCTGCTCTCGTTATCACTTTCGTACCCTCTCTCCTGAGACTGCAGGGACTCCTCCTTGAGTACACAGATCTGCGTATTGTTGGGGTCCTTTCTCTACCGCAGGCCACTGTTCAGGTTAGCAACACCCTCTGAAAACATGTTGTTCACTTCATACTTCCAGTTAGTGCTATCAGTGACAATGGAGAGTTCAGTTGTCAGGAGGGACAGGAGCAGGGTAATAACTATGCAGATCAGGCATTGCTGGTCTCCAGAAGGTTTCAGAAAGGACATTTGCCTGCTGAGGCTTCAGATCTTCCTTAGGGAGTCCTTGGTTCTAGATGTCTCTGGCCCTGAGAATCCTATCCTTTTTGGATCCAGTTTTGATTTTCCCATTTCTTTCTGGTCCTGTGGCTATTGGTCTTCTCTTTGCTTC